AAAATTTAGAAAAACAAAAGCACTCCAATTTTTAAGTATCTTACACAAAACTATTGTTCCCATTACTTTCTCCACAGTTTTTACCACATTCACTACCTCTAAGACTATTCACGGCCAGCCCTCGCTAGTAGCAACATATAACAGATTTGTAGCAGATTATGAAAAATGGGTCTGGCAAAAATGCTGAGGAATTTTGAAGGTTCGGTGGAGGGGGGCAGTGGAGAACAGAACTGCTTTAGTTCTTTGCCTGGTTTTTGGCTCTTAAAGTTTGCTTCAAATTGCTATGTTGCCCCAAATTATAAATTGCTTATGTAATTTAACGTGCAAAAACTGGGTACATTGTTTAAGAATTTTTCATTTGAGTAAATGAGCTTTCAAAGGGGAAATCTCAAAGGAAAAACTGTTACATAACTTACTTGACCATAAATTGAGCTTTCCAGGTATTCCTAAAAAACATCTTTGATTATAATAGGTGAAGGCTAGTCAAGTGCATTCACGATCAAAAGAGATAAAATCGACGTGCTGAATGGCAATAGAAACTTTTTAGCTAAGAGAAAATACTTGGAATGTGTTTACTAAGCATTTTCACATTTCTTTATCTTTTGGGTAAAGCCTGGTAAGTTTCTTCCAGCTTTCTCAAGAAGTGCATCGGCGATCAAACTTGAAGTCTATTCATCACTCACTCCCCAAACAAGCTGTTCAAGTAGAATGAAACGGCCTTTCTTGCCTCCACTTATACCTGGAACGACACTTGGCTGCATCCAAGCACCGTGCGTTCTGTTATGCCATAACAGGAGTGAAAAGAATGCTCCCCTTTTCCAGGCTCCCACACTCTCTGGGTGCCCCCGCAAAGGGATGCTAATAATGTCGGTAAGGGCCCAGTGGGAGCAGCCAGGACTGCTGTCCCTCCCTGGCCAGACGCCTGGCCTCGGTCTATCGCGTCTCCCGGACTGTGACTCCGACTTCGGCACCCTGTCGATTCGCCCCGCGCTGGTCCCTGGGGAGACGGAATCTGTGGGCCCCCGGAACTCCCGCCAGAGCGGGGCCCCAACATGCAACTGTCTAGTGGAAAAGTTCTCAGACCAGCGCATTCCAGACCAGACCTGCTACCTCTGTTCCTCTCGTAGGAACCTCGGGACTTGCAGCGCGCCCCGCGGAGCTCGACTTCCTCCTCCGCAGTGAAGGTGGGAGGCTGAAGCGCCGACCCCTTCCCGGCTTCACCACGACGCGCACCCACAAACCGGGCTGGGCGTCCTCGGGACCCTAGAAGGGCCGCGGTCAGTGGACGGTAGGTTCGCTTGCGCCCCATTCTCTGGCACTGCAGTAGGTGGAGGGTGTTTGCAAATTTGCCCAGCAGCTGGGCGCGCCCCAGTGGACGCACTCCCTCCCCTGAGCCCCGCGCTTCCTCCTAGGAGCCCCCAGCCGGACGCACTCACCTGTACTCCAGAGCGCCGGGAGGAAGACGCCCAGCAGCAGCGGCAGCGGGACCTGCCCCATCCTGGGGCTGCGGATCTGTAATTCCTATCCGGACGGACTGACAGACTGACGTCCCGAGCCTGCCTTGTCGCCAGCCAAGCGCGCCAGCGAAGCGCCCAGTCCCGGCGGCCCGGGCAGTGATTGCCGGAGTGGCGGAGCGCCGCAGCCGGCGGGAGGTGCCAAGGGCTGGAAGGGGCGGGCCTGGCGCCGAGCCAAGGCCGGCTGGGGCTGGAGGAGAGGGGAGGGCGGGGGCGCGAGTCCCGGCGGGCCCAGCAGGTTGGGGTGGGAGGGGGCAGGAATACGAGGGGGAGGAGGGGCGTAAAGGGGAAAAGGGAGGGGGCTGGAGAGCATGGGCGGGCCAAGGGCCACCGCGAAGCGGACGGCGGGGCAGGAGGGGGCGGGAAGGAAGGGAAGAGGGAGCAGAGACCGGGAGGGAGCTGGAGACAGAAGCTAAGGGGAGGGACGGGCCGGAGGTGCAGAGGAGACAACTCCAGCCGCTGCGCGGGTCTGGAGGCCAACACGTGTGGGTGGGAGATAGGGAAGGGCATAAGGTGGGAGTGAAGTGGCGGATGCCCAAGGCAGCCCCCAGACCCAAAAGGAGGATCCAGAGGCGCGCCCGCATTCCAGGCTTGACGGACACAGAAAATCCTGGCAGCACCACTCCCAGCGGCCAAGGCCACGGCGGCAGCGCTCCCTGCCGAGCGCTCCTCCACTTCCATTCCGCTCGCCGCCGAGCGCCTCCTGGGTACCCGGCCCGAAGTGCGCGACACGGCCCTGACATGGAGGGTTTCACCGCCCCTGAGGAAGGAGTTCCTGGGGGAAGGACGCTTTGCCGTGGCTCAGTGAAGAGCCCGAGAGAGGTGACGCTCAAGGAGGGAGATGAACGTGAATGATAAAGTGCAGAGCAGGAGTGGTGAGATGGGAAGCCACAGCACGTTGCTCTCATGGACCTTCACATGGTGTGCAGGGTCCAAGAGGCAGCAGCAGGGAGTGAATCGTAAAAGAAATGTAACTACTTATACTAATAATGGCAAGAGTAACTTAACTTATATACATAGTTTCTTAAAGGTAACACTTTTAGAATGTATGTATTTTAATGTGGTCCCTTTGACACCGTAACAGGAGCCAAATCATGTCACTCCTCTCCTCAAATCTACCCAAACCTATCAGTGGTTCCTGCTGTCTCACTGCATAAGCCGAAGTCCTGCCGTGGCCTACAAGGATCTACGTGACCTGGTCCCCTTTTCTCTTTGGCCTCATCTCCCTACGCCTCTTCCATTTACGTTCGTCTCTTGTCAAGCAGTCCCTTGACCCCTACACTGGCCGGACACTTCCCTTAGGTTTGGCTGTAAGGAGACAAGCAGCCCAGATGGATTTAGACAGGTTATTACTTACACCGACAGCAAAAACAAAATCAGTGTGATGTCAGCTTAGACCCACAGGTAACACCAAACTGGAGGTGCCAGTGTTATTCTATGGGCCTACATGATTAAAAAAAAAAAAAAAAAGAAGAAGAAGAAGAAGAAAAGAAAGAAAGAAAGACAACATGAGCCCTGCCGCTGAGCAGCCAAGTCTAAACTACACCAAGCAGTTTTACAGACTTTGCAGGAGCCTGACTCTGTGTGCTTGGAGGGAAGGGGGCTGGGAAGCGGAGGGAGATATATGGAAAGTCCTGCAGTCAACCAAAACGTTGGCGAAGGAAGTGAAAAGGCGCCTTGCAGCAATCTCCTGCAAGGTAGGGATAGGAAACCGGCCTCCCAGTGGCTCCTCACCAGGCTTACCTATCCCTGCTTTCGGGGAAATCACAGGGCAGTCCAACAATACGTGGGTCAGAACATGGTCACACCTGACCTAATTGGCCTCAGGAGATGTGCAAGATTGCCAGGGGCACCTCAGCAGACCTGTTCTCCTACAATTTCCTTGCTGTTGCTCAAATATACCAAGCACTCCTCCAATGAAAGGTTTTGTACTGGCTCTTCCCTCTGCCTGAAATGCTCTTCCCTTAGACACATAGCTTCCCATTTGACTCTCCTCCAAGTCAGCTCAAATCTCACTTTCTTGATGAGGCCTGCCTTGTACAATACTCTTCAGATGACCAGGCGTGGTGGCTCATGCCTGTAATCCCAGCACTTTGGGAGGCCAAGGTGGGCAGATCACAAGGTCAGGAGTTCAAGATCAGCCTGGCCAACATGGCAAAACCCCGTCTCTACCAAAAATACAAAAATTAGCTGGGCGTGGTGGCATGCACCTGTAATCCCAGCTACTTGGGAGGTGGAGGCAGGAGAATCACTTGAACCCAGGAGGTGGAGGTTGCAGTGAGTGAAGATCAGGCCATTGCACTCCAGCCTGGGCGACGAGAATGAAACTCCATCTCAGAAAAAAAAAAAAATGCTCTTCAGCTGTCTACCAGTGTTTGACATACCACCCCAAACTTAGTGGGAGTAAAATGTCAGCCATTTTATTAGATTCCTGGATTCTGTGGATCAGAGATTTGGACAGAGCACAGGGGAAATAGCTTGTCTTTGCTCCTCCACATCTGCCTGGGACCTTAGGCTCAAATGGTTGGGGATTACAATCACGTGAAGCAAATTATAGCCTGCAGACCTACGGCTTATTTTTGCAAATAAGTGTTATTGGAACACAGTCATTCGTGTTGGTAGTTGAGACAGATTATGTGGCCCACAAAGCCAATGCAATCTGGTCCTTTAGATAAAAAGTTGGCTAACCCTGGTCTCAAGGCTCATTCACTCACATAGCTGCCATCTGCCCTGGGATGACTTGGGCACTAGGGCTGCAGACTAACTGGAGCACCTAAAGGAGGCTTCTCCATGGTGGCCTTGGAGTAGCTGGAAGTCTTGCATGGCAGCTTAGGGCTCCAAGAGCAAGCATTCCAGTAAATAAGGAGGAAGCTTAGTGGCCTGGGAGGTCACATAACTCCACCCTACTTTCTTGATGGAAGCAGTCACAAGCCCACCCTCATGGGGAGGAGCTAAAGAGGCTCAAGCCCAACCTCTTGAAGATGGAAGTGTCAAAATATGAGCACAAACAAACAAAAACAACCTAGACCCCATATTACACAACTATTTCCAAGGCTACATTTATGCAACTTCAACAAGAAGACACTTACCTGGAAGCCATTCTCCAATGACCACTGTGTCTCCTGTGTCAGCTAAGACTCTGTGTTACGAGTAGGCACCCTAGTGTTTAACACCTAAGAGGGAATGATAAAGGCCTGCAGCAGTGTTCATCTAAGGGCTACAGATTACCCCCACTGACTCAAGGATGAAAGATCTGTAACCAAGGTAAAGTAGCATTGTGGTCACAATCTATGTGTCAAACATGTTCAGCATATCAGTGGCAGGACTTGAGTTTGAGACCAGCCTGGACAACATGGTGAAACTCCATCTCTGCAAAAAAAAAAAAAAAAAAAAAAAATTAGCACAGCATGGTTGTGACTGCTGCTAGACTGAGTTCGGCAGTTACTCAGGAGGCTGAGGTGGGAGGATTGCTTGAGCCCCGGAGGTCAAGGTTGCAGTGATCCAAGGTTGTGCCACTGCACTCCAGCCTGGGCAATAAAGCGGGACTCTGTCTTTAAAAAAACAAAAACAAGCCGGGCACGGTGGCTCATGCCTGTAATCCCAGCACTTTGGGAGGCTGAGGCAGGCGGATCACCTGAGGTCGGGATTTCAAGAGCAGCCTGACCAACATGGTAAAACCCTGTCTCTAAAACAAAACAAAACAAAACAAAACAAAACAAAAAAAAAACAAAAACACACACAGAGAGAGAGAGAGAGAGGGAGAGAGAAATATGGCAGATGTAGAAGACTCCATTCAGCATGCTGAAGAACAGACAAGAAGCACAAAGATCTAGGTTTTGTAGTTTATTGGGAAACTGCACTTATAATTTATTGGGAAACACATAATTCTTGTAAGCAACTCCATTTAGCTTCTTGAACAAAATACAGTAGTCTAAGTGCTTTGTCTTTGTAGTTTTAGAGGAATTGAGATGGTGCATACAAAACGATTCCATTTTACTTGCTAAAACCATCCAGAAAATAAATTTCTTCTTCTTATAGTTCGTTGGAGGAATGGAGACAGCACATGTAAGAGATTCCATTTGCTGCACAAACACTGAAATTAGAGGTCTGGCTCTTGTAGTTTCTTGGGAATGGCTGGTGATTTGGAGATCTGTCAGGTGACAGGCAACAGGAAATCAATTGATAATACATATATATTTTTGAGACAGAATCTTGCTCTGTCACCCAGGCTGGAGTACAGTGGCAGGATCTCAGTTCCCTGCAACCTCTGCCACCTGGGTTCAACCAATTCTCCTGCTTTAGCCTCCCAGGTAGCTGAGACTACAGGCATGAGCCACCGTGTCTGGCTAATTTTTGTATTTTTAGTAGAGACGGGGTTTCACCATGTTGGCCAGGATGGTCTCAAACTCCTAACCTCAGGTAATTTACCCACCTCAGCCTCCCAAAGTGCAGGGATTACAGGCATGAGTCACCACGCCCGGCCATCTGAAGAGTATTGTACAAGGCAGGCCTCATCAAGAAAGTGAGATTTGAGCTGACTTGGAGGAGGTCAGCTGGGAAGATATGTGCCTAAGGGAAAAGCATTTCAGACAGAGGGAACAGCCCAATAATAATTTTTGTCCTGCCTCAGCCTCCTGACTAGCTGGGACTACAGGTGCCTGCCACCACGTTCAACTAATTTTTTTGTATTTTTAGTAAAGATGGGGTTTCATGTTGGCAGGCTGGTCTCGAACTCTGACCTCAAGTGATCTACCTGCCTCGGCCTCCCAAAGTGCTGGGATTACAGGTGTGAGCCACCGTGCCCAGCCCAATAATAATTTTTGATTATCTGTCTTGGTGGGCTCTGTTATCTCCTAGAATTCTTTTTTTTTTCCCCGTTTATTTATTTTATTGCATTTTAGGTTTTGGGGTACATGTGAAGAACATGCAAGATTGTTGTATAGGTACACACGTGGCAGTGTGATTTGCTGCCTTCCTCCCCATCACCTACATCTGGCATCTCTCCCCTTGCTATCTCTCCCCAGCTCCCCACCCCCCACCATC